ATCCTGAATGATACTATGTTCCTTTAAGGAGGGTGGAGTTGGCCAGATGTGGTGGCTCATGCCTGTAATCCCACCACTTTGGGAGGCCAAGGTGGGCAGATCACCTGAGGTCAGGAGATGAAGACCAGCCTGGCCAACATGTCAAAACCATGTCTCTACTAAAAACTACAAAAATTAGCCAGGTGTGGTGGTGAGCACCTGTCATCCCAGCTACTCGGGAAGCTGAGGCAGGGAGAATTGCTTGAACCAGGGAGGCAGAGGTTGCAGTGAGCTGAGATCATGCCACTGCACTCCAGCCTGGACAACAGAGCAAGACTCTGTCTTAAAAAAAAAAAAAAAACATGGAGGGTGGAGTTTTTTTTTTGATAGCAAAAAAAGTACCACTGGAAAATCTTGATCCTGTCTAGGGTTGGCTTTAGACTTCATTCAGGCTGTTCTGTTTTCATTTTGCTCTTTTTCATGCAATGTGGTTCTTATTCCTAAGGTTAAGTGAAGAAGAAGAAGGAGCAAGAAAAGAGTTCCACTTCATTTTCAGAGGGTATTTTCACTGATTATAGATGTCTATGTGGATGTTTTTTTCTTTTAGCATGTTATAGATGTCATTCCATTGTCTTCTGACTTCCATTATTGCTGATTAAAACCCAGGTGTAATTCATATTCTTGTTCTCCTATATTTAATATATCTTTTTCCTTTGGCTGCTTTAGAGATTTTTCATCTATGGTTTTAAATAGTTTGGTGTGTGCCAGTGTGATATGCTGATTATTTATTCTTTTGGGGATTTTCCACCTTAGATTGGTAAATTTATGCTTCCCATCATCTGGGCCAAATTTGGGGCATTATTTCCAAAATTTTTTTTTTTGCCCCATTTTCTTTCTGCTTTCTTTCTGGAATTCCATTTCAGAAAGTACAAATTTTGCAAATTAGATAATTATACTAATGGGGTTTAGAATTTTCATTTCTTTCTTTTGGCTTCCATTTTTCTACTGTGATTCTCTATTTGTTCATTTTCCACTTGTTCATTCATTTTCCTTTAAATACCTGAACATATTTATAATAGTTACTTATTCTTTCCTGCCAATTCCTCCTATATCTGGGCCATGTCAGGATCAGTTTCTATTGACTGCTTTCTCTTCAGTATAGGTCACTTTTGTGTGTTTTTCACTTGTCTATATTTGTTTGTTGGGTTTGTTGGTTGGTTTGTTTAGAAACAGAGTCTTGCTATGTTTCCCTGGGCTGGTTTTGAACTCCCGGGCTCAAGTGATCCTCCCTTGTCAGCTTCCCAAGTGGCTGGGACTATAGACGTGCACCATCCTGTCCAGCCTATTAAATTTTTTGTTGTTAATTATCCATTGTAGGGAGTCTGTATCATGTTGTTTTCTTTTAATGGGTGTTGTTTCATTCTTATAAATTTCCCTGGTCCTGTCTGATTTCATATTATTCTTCGTTACAGTTTGTGCTATGGAGAAACAAGATTTTGAATTTTGCTCTAAGACATGCTTTTTCGCCTGATTGTTGCTTTTAAGGCAAGGCCTTTCTAGCATCTCAATTGAATCCCTGAAGTGCTCAATGAGGTCTCGTTGCCCTGCTGCGATGGAACTCCAACGTCTCTCAACAATGCACTACAGGCAGCAGGTAATCTGTGTTAGGCCTTGCAGAGTTTTGTCATGTCAATATTCAGCTCAGCTGTTGGCCAAGGACTGGTGGTGAATCTCCATGTAGACTTGTGGGGGAGTCCATTTTCCATAACTACCTATCTTCAGAAATTTCAGCTGCTTCAACAACCCAAAACTCCAGTCTCTCCCCCGTTAACTGAAACTTCTGCCTTACCTGTGTTCTACCTTCCTACATTCTAGAAAAACGTTTTTCTCTTCAGCAGAAAAACCTGGACAATTACAGGATAGTTGTGGAGCAAACTCAATATGTTTCCCTTCTCTCAAGGATCACAGCCGTGTGGGGCCTACTGTCCAATACCTGAGAAGGAGAGCTACTCAGGTACTTGTTACTCTCTCATGGCTGGAGGCAAAAGACTTTGGTACACTTTAATTTAAAGGCACACTGAGATTTAAATGATTGATACTATCGCTTATCCTTTGGTTAGTGAGTGGCTATCTTAGGAGTTATTGCCTGAAGAAAAAGCCAGTTCAGACTGCAAGACAAATGACTATTTGGTTGAGAAGTAACTCTCCATTTTTAAAGGGTGGAGATGGCTCAGTAGTAAATGAGTTCTCTTACACTGCCCTGGGAGATTAGACAAACAATGGATCTAACTAAGAAAATAGACTGACTCATTTGGCTACAGTGCTATACAGAAGTTATAAGCAAACTAACATTAAGCTCCAGAAACAGAATTGGGTTCTGTATACTGTAAATGAATTTTACAGTCAATTCTGAGATTTCTCATTGAAGAAATCAAAAATCAGATGTTTAAATTAATAAATCTAAAGACACTGTGACCCTTTCTTTCCTTACCTCATCATCTGCTATAGCGAGGCTGAAGTCATATGCAGTTTACTTCATTATTTATTAACTCTTCTTTAGGATGGTAGTTTTGATTGTAAAATAAGTAAGGTTTGCTGTAACCTTCTTTCCTCCTAATTTTCTTGAGCATTTCTTAACTATGTCTACTAGTGAACACCTTATCTTCAAAGTGAACGGGTCCATTGAGAGAATAACTACAGACAAGGAGTGAGTAAAGGCCTTCTTGGCACGACAAGAAGTTATGCTGGAGCTAAGTAACGGTTCATAAGTGAAAGGGGTGGAGAATGGGAGGGAAATGGAATCACAGATCTGGAAGAGACAAGTCATTGAGTCCAGACGGCCTCTAGACAGGTCAGGAAGGGGTGTTTGGGTGGACCCTTTTTTCACATCTGGATTTAGCTTCACTCGAACACTTTCAGCCTTTTGCCTTTCACCAAAACCAATTTCTTCTCTGCGAGACATGTGGCACTCCTCCTCCTCCTGCCCCAGGATGAGGTCCTCTGGCGTGGATTTCATTAGTTTTTGGGGATGGTCCATTCCTTTTCCAGGAGGTCTGTTTCAGGTTTAGGTCATTCCATTGGCCTCACCATCAACTGAAGGGCAGGTCTCCTGGCCACTCACTAATTCCCCGGGCGGAGAGGAAAGGCCTGTAAGCTGATGGTCACATTCCATGTACTTCTAACACCCCTTAGCTGTGAGGACACGATGTGCTGAGATGGGTGGAACTTGAGTTGGAGTTTTTAGGTGGTTTCAAATCGTATTCTCCATGAGAGAATCATACAACTGCCTACCTTTCCCAACATACACATCCACACTCCTACTTTATTCACGGTATAAGTGAAATTTTGGATTTTGGCAATGTTTATGGTTCCTCGGAGCCAACCACCTTTTCTTTCCCAAGTGTCTGGATTTACTTCAAGAAACTGCGGGACAAAGAAGGGTGGAGGTAAGCTTTAGTTTATTTCCCTGCTTCATGGGGGAAGGAGGTTTGTGAGCAGAAGCATGGAGGTACATGAGAGACGTGTTGCTCTCCGGTGCCTATCATACCCTCCCCATGGCCGGCGTGCACACACGGCGAGCAGAAACTCTCCCCCGCCCCGCCGCCTGCCGCCGCATGCACCCTCCCTGCACCTCCCGCCCGCCCGACCGACGCAGACCAAGCAGAACTTCCCTGGGTCGCGGCCCAGCGATACGGAGCGGCCCTGGCGAGGAGCCCTCCTCTTCCCGAGTCGTGGGTGGCGCGGTGCTTGTTTCCCTCCCCTCCCTTTCCGGACCCACACGGGGATGTATCTGGGTCAGCCTGGGAGGGGCCGGACCTGCCAGGGACCAGCGTGGGGGAAGGGGGTGGCGATGACAGCATCTTTCAGGTTTTTGGCGTCTCTGAGCTTCGCCTCGTCCAGCCTCTCACCGCGCTAGTGGCCGGCGAGGGCTGACGCTCTGGCCAGCCCAGGCCCGAGGGTGGGCGGGAGAGAGGGAGAGCCCGTCCTTCCGATCTGGGCGGCACCCCCTCCCCCACGCCCTGCGAACAATTCGCCTCCCACACACACACACAGGCGCACACTCTATTCCCCAGAGCACGCTCCTCGGGCGGGTAGTGAGTCCCTCCACCCCAGGAAAAGAGCAATGGAACAGTTCACGGCCGCCACGAGTTCCTGGTCTTCCTTCCTTTCCGGTGATAAACGGCGCTGCTACAAGCCAGCTACTGCTTAAAATGCTCCACCCGCGGGCCCGAGCCCCTCTCTCTTGGCTGGGCGGGGGCCCAGGTCCAGGACCGAGGGTCCCTTAACCTCCACTAGGCGCACAGGCTGAGCGCCCGGGCGGCGGGAGGTGCAAGGGCGCACACCCCCGGCGAACGCCTGGCTGCCTCAGTTCCTCTCTAGGTGATCTTTTGCGCTCCGCAGCTCCGGAGAGGAGCTGGATGTGCGTAAAAACTGCATCTTTCCTGGGTACTTTGGCAGATACTGCTGGGTTAGGTCCCGAGGGTCATGTACCCTCTAAGTTCCCCTCCCTATGGGCTCTGTATATAAGCCCAGCACCAAGGAATCAAAGCCAACAGGTCATTTCGCTGAGGCCTGGCCCCTCCCTAATCTTGCCCTGCATAGACGCGGCAGCTCCAAATTTACAAGTGCTAGCTCTTCATCCCAGCGTCAGGGAGAGAAGCGAAGCAATGAGTTGAGAATCATCTCTGGATTCTTGTATCCCATGCATAGTAATCTCCTTATCCCCTGGCCCCCTTCCTTGTTGCCCCACATTGCACGCTCAGGGACTTGTTTGCCAGCGGATGGCCTCGGCAATCCGCACCGCGCGCTCCTACAGCCCACGGATGCTCTTTGCCCCAGCTTCCCTAAAGGTGCCTGTATTCGCCTGTGCTCGTAACCATGCAGCGGTGTTCCCCCTTCCCCGCCTCACCTCATCCCCAGACATCTCTTGCCATCATTTCATGCACCCTTGTCTAAAACCCCGCGCTTCTCCCCACCCCCGCCAGGCGCAGCACCCCCTCCCTCGGCTGCGCCCGGAGGGGAGCAGAGCGGACAGGGGCGCGCGGGAGGCGCGCAGAGCTTTCGGGCTGCAGGCGCTCGCCGCGCCTGGGGAATTGGGCTGTGGGCGAGGCGGCCCGGACTGGCCTTTATCGCTCGCTGGGCCCATCGTTTGAAACTTTATCAGCGAGTCTCGCCACTCGTCGCAGACGCGAGCGGGGGGCGGGGGCGCGGCGAGGCGCCGGCGGCCGTGACGAGGCGCTCCCGGAGCTGAGCGCTTCTGCTCTGGGCACGCATGGCGCCCGCACACGGAGTCTGACCTGATGCAGACGCAAGGGGGTTAATATGAACGCCCCTCTCGGTGGAATCTGGCTCTGGCTCCCTCTGCTCTTGACCTGGCTCACCCCCGAGGTCAACTCTTCATGGTGGTAAGTACACGCGCGCGACCGCGGGGGTATTTTGGAGATCGGAGTGGGGACCTCATTGGCCACATAGACCCTTCCTGGCTGCGTTTCCCCGCGGCCGCAGCAGTCTCGGATTCTGGCCCGAACCCTGGCTACTGCCCTCTTATCGCCCCATGGTGAGCCCCTTCTCTTTTCCCGGAAGATCATTTCAGCTTTGACAACTCCATAAAACCACATTCCCCCACCAAATGAGAGTTCCGATGTTTGGTTTATTTGGATCCAGCTGAGCGACAGCAAAATCAGCCAATTTCTTATCCTGTTGAGAGACGTGCTAGCCCGGTCTCCAGCTCTAGCACAGACGTGTGTGTGTGTGTGTGTGTGTGTGTGTGTGTGTGTGTGTGTGTGTGTAAATTCACCTTGAAAACTACAACCGCCTCCCCCGCCCCACCCCCCTCCCAAAACTGCCTCAAGGTAAATCGACGGGCCAATTCAGGCAGTCAGGAGTTGTAGAACCCAAAGCGTGTGATTTTGTATTATTTCCCGTCCTTCCACATTCCAGGTTCACCCCAGTGGGGCGGAAGAACATTTTGCTGCCTCCAGGTAGAGACTATGGCTTTAATGCAAAGCTACAACCCCGGGTCTGTCTCTAAGATGTTACCCTGTTCACAACCGTCCCCGCAAAGAGTAACTTTGCTGTTTTCCTTTGTACTTTGGTCTGCAATTTATTTATTTTTGCATAGTGATGGAATGTTGAACCATAACAGGTCGCTAAAAGTTCCAAAGGCAGATTCCCTCCCCATCTAGAAACTGTTCTTCATCTGCCGACTTTCTGGTCTTGGAAAGAGATAGAGTTGATAGCCCTGTAATTTCCTTGCACCTAAAAGTTTCAGAACAGATATTAAAATATTGATTCAGAGAGACCCGTTATTGTGGGCTAATTTTTAAAGAATCTGGTAAGGGGTCTCAGCTCAATTACAGTCTAGAGCAGGGAAATGTTTAGGAAGACACTGGAGCTCTTCAAAGGAGCAAGGCAATGCGCTGATGGGAAGAGGGGTTCAATTCCTTCCTAAGCCGGCTTTGAACAGGGAGGCGTTTAGCCTTGACATTGCTGACACAGGATCAAAGATTGATTTATCAGACTGACCATTTTTCAATAAAATGACTATTTCTGTTTCCATGGGTGTATAAACATTATTTATTGCTCGGGCTTTTTGTCACATTGTCTCTCAGCTGTCACTTAAATATATTTTTTGGAAGTCACAGCTGTAACGATTTTATGATCATATAAAATAATGAAAATACAAGAAAAAGACATTCTCCTTGTTTGATCGCTTCAAAAGACACCTATGGCAGCTTGGGTTATATAAAAGGTACCTTTCTAAACATTTCACGACTAATAGAGAACATCTGGGTAGAGATGATGATGTAATTTTTTGTTAAAGTTTCTTTTCAAAAAGTACTTTATGGAGCTATAACACTGTTTGATTCTTCCAAACATTTAGTGTCCTTAATAACAATAGAAAGAATTTTTTCCAAAGGATCTTTATAAAAGCCAAAAAGAGCTACAAAATGGAAATGTTTAAAAGACTCTTCAGTAAGGAAAGAACAGCCTGTCTGTGAGGAGAGTGTAACATCAGATACCAGCAGGTGTTGATTAGACAGATACAGACAGTTCTTAAGACATTCTGTCAAATAAATGGGAACGAAGAGCTTCTAAGGTCAGCTTCCCTCAAAGCCAAGTCCAGACACATTGTGTCACTGAGATCTGAACCTTCTTGAGAAAAGTCTTCCACACATTCTCCCTAAGACACATTGCTTCTTACCCATCATTCATTTCCCCAGATGCCGACCTTGCCTCTGTCCCCCCGCCCAGAGCATCATCTGGTGGACCTAGCTTCATGTCCAACAGAAGTCATCACAGCATTTTGGGGATGACTTCTGCAAGATCACTCACTATGCCTGCCTGCCTTGGCTGTTTCTCCACTACATTAAAAAGTAAAAACCCTTGCTTTCTAATACCGCCAGAAGGATAAGGAATTCATATTTGAAAAGTGCTTTGAACTCCTTAGTCTCCCAGGAACACCGAGTCAGGCCTCTCTGTTCATGTTGCCCTCACCTCTGTGTTGGTTTGTCCCTTATAGGTACATGAGAGCTACAGGTGGCTCCTCCAGGGTGATGTGCGATAATGTGCCAGGCCTGGTGAGCAGCCAGCGGCAGCTGTGTCACAGACATCCAGATGTGATGCGTGCCATTAGCCAGGGCGTGGCCGAGTGGACAGCGGAATGCCAGCACCAGTTCCGCCAGCACCGCTGGAATTGCAACACCCTGGACAGGGATCACAGCCTCTTTGGCAGGGTCCTACTCCGAAGTAAGTCCCCTGCCTTCACCCAGCCCTATGGCTCTCTACTCATGCACAGCTCCCTCACCCTGTCTTCAGAGACCGTGCTTATCTTCTATTGCATTTTCTTCCGTCAGAAGTTTGTTCTGTTGGGCGTCATTGTCCCTGTTTTATAGGTGAGGACTAGAGAAATCAAGGAACATGTCTAGAGGCTTACAAGAGGTGAATTAAAAGGAAGAAGTAGAACCCCAGGTTGTTGTCTTTTCACTCTTTGCTCTGTCCATCCCTTCAATACGGCACATCCTCCAGGTTCAGATTTCGTCTCTAAGAGACGAGAGAAGGAGCCACAAGTCTCTTTTGACTTTTTCCTTGTCTTTCTGGGGCTTCCTTCAGAAGAATTTGAGCAGATCATCAGGATAGAATCTTCAAATCTTTTCTCAGCAAAAGATGATCAGCATTGCAAAAACACCACGTAAGTGTTATTAAGAAGCGGAGACAAATCTCTTCTCACCACTTTTCACCTTCCATTCAGCTACTCAGCCTTGAGTCACTCTGTGACTAAATTCAACATTTTTCCTCCCAACAGATTGTAAATTCTTTAAGAGCAGAAACTAACCTATATTCCCTGTACCTTGCTTGGTGCCTTGTGTATTGCGGGCCCTGTCCATTCATTATGATGAATGAGTGGATAAACTTGTAGTGGGTACTTATTATTTTCCAGTTACATTTTAAGCAATAAGGATAGCTGTGGGGGATAGAGGTGGGAAACATGAATCCATAGAGGTTTTTTCTTCCTTAACAGGAACCTTAAACATGTTCTAATTACGTAGCAAACGTCTTAAAAGTTCTGAATATGGAAAGTAGCTCGCTAGCTAATGCAAAATTAAAGAAAATTAATTGAAAATCATATTTTATTTTCAAATAATGCCCATCTGCTAACCTGGCATCATTAGCATTCTCCAAGAACTACCACAGCCCATTTGCTATTAGAAAATCTGACTGATAACACAGCAGTTTATGTGCAAACCCCCAAAATAGGAAACTTTATAATTGTTTTTTGCCTACCCCCCCCCAATTCCTAAGAAAATCATCCGGACTGTGCACTTGGTAATGCTTAACAGAGGGTGTTTCTATCATGTAATCATCACAGCCCTAGGGTTTTATGAGGCCAAATGCATAACTGAATGTCTCTAAAATCCCCCAAGGGCGTAGTACTCTCATTCTTAGAGTATCCCTAAAGTTAATTTACTGCGATATTCTGCAATTTTATTCTCTAGTTTAAGAACTATATTCTTCTGCATTCCTTTTGGAGTTTCGATATGACATCGCAAATTTTTGAAAGGTTAATAATAAATTTCAGCTTCATGGAATTTTAAGACTTCACGTAGATTATCTCACAGTGAATCAATTAAAGAAACTGGACCTTGTCAAAGAGAGTTTGCAAATATCTAGAACGAGTAATCTCTGGATAGATTATGCATGGCTCTCAGTGTTTAAAACATATCAGGATTTTTTTTCAAAGTGCTTACAACCACTTTGCAATGATTTCAAATTAGATATGCATCTCATTTATAATATGATCATCTCTGGATGTATTAAGGTGTCTACATATTTGAATAAAACCTTTAGATCACATATCAAAGGAAGCAATATTGACCAGTGATCCTAAAGAAAATATATCCATCAAAGCTGGGGATTCATTCATAAAATACTGTAACTTAATCTTGACACTATTAGTTTCTTCAGAGCTGTAGAATTGCTGAGAGGAAGGAGGTTAGAACTAGAGGCAACAGCCAGGCTCACTCCTGTAATTCCAACACTTTGGGAGACCAAGGTAGGCAGATCACTTGAGGCCAGGAGTTCGAGATCAGCCTGACCAACATGGTGAAACCCCATGGGTGTGGTGGTACATGCCCTTAATCCCAGCTACTTGGGAGGCTGAGGCATGAAAATCACTTAACCTGGGAGGAGGAGGTTGCAGTGAGACAATATCTTGCTGCTGCATTCCAGCCTGGGTGACAGGACTGGAGGAAACAGAACTAGTTTAACTTAGTCTAGGTCTCAGGTAAATAAGAGATTCTAACTCATACTTCCGTCAGATTTTTTTTCAGATGAAGCAGGATACTTTGCCAAAGTACTCAGAACTTAAACCACTCATGCTACACAATTTCTTTCCATTCTTCACAGAAGGCCAGGTTCCCTCTCAAACATTTATGCAAACTATTATGACTGTCAGTGATGATTTTGTGTTGGTTATGGGAGGGCTGAATTTGGCCTAAAGCAGCTCATCTTGGAAATAATCAAGAAATTCCAATGAAGCTATCCAAAGATTTCTACAATTAGTTGCTTAGAGAGAAAGTTACATCTTAGAGTTGTGGACACCTAAATATGCTCATAGATGAATAGGAAAGGCAACGGGCAAGACCATTTATAAGAAGAACATAAAATTACCAAAATGTCCCATGGTCATAGAGAAATGGAGAAAATTTGCCTGTTTGGCTTTAGAGAGTCAGAGTAAGACAGAACAATTTTTAGAAACATTTGTAATTTACTCATTCAACAGACAGTTACCAGTCACAGGCAGAGAAACAAGGACAGAACTAGCAAATCTAAAAATATTCCTGCAAGAATGCACCTCCAAAATTCTAGAATTAGCCTTAGAAAACACAAAGGTAATTAGGTCTCATCCTTATAAATATTTTTTTATAAAGCAAATACTTTAAAGAGAGTCAAACAACCCATAACCTTCAAAAAACTCTAGCTTCTAGAGTTTTGCCTTCCTAGGTAACAATCCCTCTACCCCAAATAAAAACTGTGCCTATGTACTTAACAGACATTGCTTGATTTATCTCCATACAAAAATTAGAGAAACTTCAATAGCAACACATTGGGAAATGTAGATGTCACCACTTCGATTTGGATTTTGTTTCATTTTGTGATAGCTTTAAAAAGAATCTTTCTAAGAAGAGGCCCAAGATCAAAATTTGTTTTGTTACAAAGCCAGCTCTTGAAATGTGCTACTACTTCACACATAACATTTTAGTGATTCATCTAAACACTTAACTGAAAACATCTTAGGGCTATATCTACATGGTACCAAACCATCTGGGGGTAAAATGAAAAACCAGTCAATGTGCTAAATTTTTAATTTCAATAAAGGAACATCTAGCTATTTAGTAATGTGTTTGAATAATAAATGACAAATATTTAGAAAAGTCATCTTTTTACTTTGGAAATTATTTCTGAAATGAAGCAGATTGTGATTTGTTTTCTTTCAGTCAACATGTAATTGTTTCCAAGTTATACCAGCATGAACTCTGCACCTAGACAATTTATTTCTCTTGTTGCTTTCAAAGTACTGTCTGGTTACCTGATATACTATCATCCCCATCTTCCATGCCTTTCCCGTAACAGACCACCTCATAAAATGTCTCTTCTTTCTCCTTAAAAAATAAGACTAGTGCTACATACTTAAGCTTTTGGGAATTTCCTCCTCTATGTGATCTCTCTAAACATGGGCACTGGCTTCTAAATCCCAAATGAAGCTTTAGAAGATAAATGGGGTAACTATGGAAAAGGTATTTTCCTAAACTGTAAAATGGATATAATAAAAGTTTTATTTATCTGAAAGCCACTACCTGAGATTAAGTCACATTAGTGTGTATTAGTCACCTTCTTTTACAAAACATCTCAATTCCACTTAGAATATCTGTGATCTATATAGTATAAGCTGGGACTCTTTAAAATAGCTCTCATAACCATCATATTTCCTCTGGGGAGGACTACCTGCTACCTATGGCGAATAGTCATGTAATTGATTTTACCTAACTACAGGGCATGATTGATTCCTTTTTTGATGGTTAGAGGTTTGGGGGGTAAATATTTTCTGAAGGCTGAGGTAAGTGCCATTTAATATGGTGTAGATATGTTTTCCTGATTTTTAATAATGAGACTAGCAGAGCAAATATTGCAAGGGACGTATAATAAATTTTAACACTGAATGACAAACGGAAACAAGCAGGGCTTCAATGCGAAAAGGTGGTTTGCTCTCCCAGCTGTGTGGTTCAAAAAGTCACACTCCTCTTGACATATTGAATCACCGAATGGTTCTCTGTTTTCTGCCTTGCATTGGCATTAGGTTGTCCAGCTTCTATTTTGATTGTTAATATATTTGCTGCAGCAACCATTAATAAAAGGGCATGCTAATAACAATGAAATACAGCTCCACTTGAAAAATGAGGTGCACACGGACCCTAAAGAGCCTTATATCTGTCACTATACCACAACACCGTGTTATGAGTTACTACAGATTATTAAAATAATTTAATGTAGTTATTGCACTGAAATATGTACCTTTCAGCCTGTAAGTGAAAGTAGCCTGTGCTCTAATAAAGAACAATTCTAAGAAAGCACCCCAAAGGGTTCTTGCCCAAGTCTAATTATAGGCGGTAAATTTGTTTCCTTCCAGAAAAACCAAAGAAAAACTTTTCACTGTCTTTTACCCAATACCAGTGATTAGTGCAGGTGTTCCAGAAGAAAGTAAATTCACCTTAATAGTTAGACATATAGTATGTAACTCAAGGATATTGCATATTGCCTTCAGCAATCTCTCAATTACTTATGAAAGTCAATGCCAAGCCAAAGCTCTCCCGTGTTAATGCAAGGGGCTGGTTACTGCCAGAATTCTCTTCCCACCTTGGTCCCTAGATTTCTTTGAATTCAGTATTTCATTCTCAATAATTTAAATGCATATGAGTATCTTCAGGAAGTCCTGGAGGTTTGGAAGGATTTTTTGAGGAAAGCTGTGGTGCCATGAGTTCCCAACTATATTGTGGAATGATAGAATTGTAGCATTCAGACTGTAAAGTAAAGAAAAAGGCCTAGAGATGCTATGCTCCTCTCTTCTAGGACATCTGGAGCTCTCTGTTGAAACAGGGCAAGCCTGTGTTTGAGACTAATGTGAAGCCAGGAGCTGGGCAACGCCATCTTTTTCTTTGATACTCCTTATTTAAGAAGAGCTGCCATATAGATATCTAAATTGACAAAAACTTCTATTAGATAGAGACGATTCATATTAAAGAAAGAACCCGGGCTCTGGAAAAGAACCCTTCAAGAATATCAGTACCTTGTTGTCTAGTGGCAAAGGTTGTCTGAAACAGAGCAAGTATTAAACAATTATCATATGAAAGTTATTCAGAAATAGTGCTACCGGACCACTTTTAAGAAAAGCATTTTTGTTTCAGGTAGTCGGGAATCTGCCTTTGTTTATGCCATCTCCTCAGCTGGAGTTGTATTTGCCATCACCAGGGCCTGTAGCCAAGGAGAAGTAAAATCCTGTTCCTGTGATCCAAAGAAGATGGGAAGCGCCAAGGACAGCAAGGGCATTTTTGATTGGGGTGGCTGCAGTGATAACATTGACTATGGGATCAAATTTGCCCGCGCATTCGTGGATGCCAAGGAAAGGAAAGGAAAGGATGCCAGAGCCCTGATGAATCTTCATAACAACAGAGCTGGCAGGAAGGTACGGAAATGCAACGGTGTTCATTTTGTAGGCTGCATGGCTTTATAAACCACTTAGGCAGAGCTTATCTTAAACTTTCCTAGAATTGATAAAATGCTGTGTAGTCACAACTTCCTACTATCTGCTAGCCATTTGCTGTTTGTTCTGAAGAATACCAACAACTAGGTTGAAATATTCCCACCCACACTCCACCTTCCTTCCTACAGCTAGTTGAAGGAGTCCACCCATTGCGTTTGGCATTGTGTTGATTCAAGTCTTTTATGGTCCCTCTGGACACTAATCATTTAAGCAGAAGATACGATCTGTGGGTTAGGATAGTGCTTCATCCTACATAGCAACGGTACATTGAATGCTTATATCTAAGGGATGTAAAGACCCAGAGCATCTTTTCTTACATGTATCATGAGAACAACTCACCAAGCATGATTCGTTGGCTTCTTCTAGATTTAGGGATGCCCTCTTTTGGAACCTGACCCAAGTCTCACTCATAAAAGCCCCACCTTGTTGTTTCTGGTGCTGGATAAGTGAGTGGACCAGGGGAAGACATGATCCCCAAAGGGTATTCTGTCCCCTTCTCCTCTAGACCTGATTCACTTCCTGGGCTCCAGTCAGTGTTCCCCCTCTAACCACCATTTGTTAAATGAGGAAACTGAGGCCCTCAAGGTACTCAAGGTCACAAGGAAGTTAGTAGAAAGGACTAGAAAGTCAGGTTTCAACACCTAGTCCAGGGGTGCTTTACCCTAGGATTAAACCATTTCAATGCCAATGTTCCGACCCATTGATGACCCATGTCTTTTGGTATGGTGGTATGACCAGAATAACTACAGAATGTAATGCTGTACTTGATACTTTTGTGTGGAGAGCATTAACTGGCTGGGTGAATCAAATATTTGTTCAGAACTATTCTAGAATAATCTAATTGCCAATAGGAAGAGATAACCATAATTTGTCTTTTATCACCACAACATAAAAATGTGTTTGATATTAATATATAAAGAAAAATCAGCATAAAATTGAATGGTCCCTGGGGGGGCTTTAATAGGAAAAATAATAGAAAAGAATGGATGAAAACCCCTTTACTAGGCTCCTGGAGAGAACAAATCTCATTCAGAGGAAGTTGGAAGGAAAGAACTCTTGCTTAGCACATGGTATAACATGAGTGTGACCTGAACTGTTTACAAATAGTACCTTTCTTGAACTTTAAAAATCAACATTCCTAATTTTCATGAATTTATGAACTTACAGTCACTACTGCCAAGAAAATAGACTATGGTTTTGCAATCCTACAACTATTGGTAATTACCGTTTGTGCAATGATTTGGATAAAAAAATTTACACTGACCTTTGTCCTAACATTGATAGTGCATGTATAAGTTATAAAGTGTGGTGTCTTTGATAGGAGTGTGCTGCTTAATCACTCAAACAGGGTATATGGTTAGATTTCTCTATTTGGAAAGATAAAAGCATATGGTCAGATATTGTATCCAAAAGAACATTGACTTATCAAAATAAATGTTAATTTCACTAAATAGGTCATTAGATATTGAATGTTTCAACTCTTCAAGACAATAGATCATACCTATTATATTTTAGGCCCTGAATAAACACAACTTTTAATGTAAATCACATGATTCTTCACCATGTAGAGGTGAACAGCTGTCAGGCCTCAGATATTCTCCTGCCTGCTCTGCAAAACTTAGGAGGCTACTTTTGATTGGAATAAAAGTGCACACGCTGACTTTTTAAAATGTGGCTTTAATTAATGGTGGGTGGGCAGACTTTTTCAAGGAGATGCATGATGTCAGTGAATATGAACTTTAATGAGAGTAAATGTATTGAGATAAACATGCGTCTCTAATTCTCTTCTTGCGGTCATTAGACCCCCAGTCTCTACTCCCCCTTCGTACTAGCAGAAGGTCTGTGGAATCAAAATGAGAACAGGCTGGGCTTGTGTTTGAAGGCAGGCCTCCTGAGCTAAGCCTCCAACTGGCTTGGCTCTAGGCTCTAGAAAGCCCCCACCTCCCAGGGCTGACGGTAACATCAGTCCACTTTGTTTCTGTTTCTCTGTGCTTTTCAGTATTTTCCAAATTGGCCAATATGAACATCTACTTTTTAAACTGGGAGAGGTAGGGGAGAGCAATAAATTTTATTTTTAAAACACCATCTATTCTGAGATTGTTCTGTTTAGCTAATGTTAAAAGTCAGAATTCATCACTGCCATTCACCACGGGCCTTAATTTTTCCCCAATATTTGAACAATTTATTTATTATAGCAGTTGGTTAGAGCACCCTCATGTGTCTCTGTACTGTAATATCATTTTAGATCCTCTGTGCTGTATCATTTATTTTAATCACAGTTTCAGCAGAATTTATAATGATTTTTTTCTTCCATGTTTACTTGAATGCTCATCCTTGATTGAGTCTAGTTTTCCACCTCCAATTAGGACTATGAATAAGTACCAAAAAGATAAGCCTGTCTTGTTCAAAACAAATATTTTATCAAGAAGGAAATTCTATAACGTCCTTCAGCAGCTCTGTTTAGGTCTAAAGAAGCCATGCTATAAAAACTTCCAAATTATATTTTAAGATATTTTTAGGTAAATTACATGCAAAAGGTCAACATCTGCCATTTATTTCCTTTAATGAGCTTGTAAACAAGCACTTTTTAAATTTGTCCACTCTTCCAGCCTGGACAACATGGTGAAACTCTGTCTCTATAGAAAAATACAAAAAATTAGCCAGGTGTGGTAGTGCTACTACCACAGCTATTCAGCTACTATTCCCAGCTACTCAAGAGGCTGAGGTGGGAGGATCACGTGAGCCAAGGAGGTTGAGGCTGCAGTGAGTCTTGATCGCACCACAGCATTCGAGCCTGGGTGACAGCACGAGACCCTGTCTCAAAAAAACAAAACAGACAAACAAAAAAGTTAGTTCACTGTTTCTTCTAAGATGAAATAATGAAATAATCACAACTTCTTTAAACGTTCCTAAGGGAATCTGTATCAAAATAACTCATGTTTCCAATCTTACTGCCCTTCCATCACTCTGAAAGTTTCTATAAGAGTAAGAATTTCCACAAGAATAAGAGGAATTCCATGAAAATGCTTTCCCTAAAAGGTGCCTCTAACTGAAAAATAGAAAAGAACATGGGATTTCAAATCAGATGCACCTTGGTTTTAATCTTACAATATCAGTGGCTTTGCTCACTGAATCTGTTTTTCTCATGTGTGAAAGGGCATTTTGTGGTGCTACAGGAAGACAAGTGTAAGGCAGATAGCACAGAACCTGGCATGTAATAGATGCTTAATAAAAGTTCCTTTCCCTTCTGTGAAGTTAAGATTATTTGTAAGTCAGGTAACAGAGCTAGGCAGAAGTCCATCCACCTGGAATTATTATTTAGGATTCAATCTGATCACTCCATCTATCTATAGAGTCATCTTCTATTCAGTTAACATACTTATAAAACCAGACATATAGTATTTTTCAATTTACAAAATACTGTCAAATGTTTTATAATTTGATCTTTCCAAAACCCCTGTAGGAATAAAAAAGAGCATTCATATTTCTACTTTTCAGATGAGAAACTGGCCCTGAGAGGGATAGAGAGACTAAACCAGGGTCATAGAATCACAGAGTACTAGATCCTGGGAGTTCACATCCGCCCCTGTTCTCCCATGTGCCCTTATCTACATTTCCATATTGCCTTTGTTGAGTATTTCTGAGAAAACAAACAATATTTCTATATGTACAGGGGAAAATCCAGTAAACTACCCTTGGAAGGTAGTTTACCGATGATTTTTTTCCTTTGTGTGTGTCTTCACACATTTTCTAAAATGAATGTGTATCGGTTTTTAATGGCAAGGAAGAGTTGTTTTAAGTGCTGAAAACTGAACAGCCAGTCATTGTGAGCACACCCAAACCACCTTAACCTTTTTGGAGGATTCACAAAATTTCAACAAACGGCACTGCAACATTCAGAGCTCTGTTCTTGTATTTTGGGACTAACTTTGGTTCGACAGATAATTTATTAAGGAATTACTTTGGGAAAGGCATCCATTTTGGTACTAAATCAGTGTGGAAAAGAATAAAACAAAGCAGCCCCTGACCATAAGAAACTAAATTTTAGTCAAGGAGACAAGTGTAATACAATTGCAAGGCAAGCAATGCTATGTGGTATAATAACATCATCAGCCACATGGCCAGTTAGCTGAGGAGATAATGGTTGTATCAAAAAAAGAACTGGGTGTTTGAGCTGGAGATAAAAGATTTCCCATGGTTGAGATAGGGAAAGCACTTTCCAGGATGAAGGGACTTCAAGACAAAGACAGATGTTGGAGCAGGAAGTGTATCATAAAGTTGAGGAATACAAGAACTCTAAGGTGGAGTTCAAGACTGAGAGTTAATGGGAACTGAGGCTGAAAATTTGAGTCCCAGCCAGATCTGGAGTCCTTTATTTATTTATTTATTATTTTGTGTGTGTGTGACAGGGTCTCACTTTGTTACCCAGGCTGCAGTGCGTGCGGTGGCGCAATCTCGGCTCACTGCAGCCTGGACCTCCTGGGCTCAAGCGATCCTCCCACCTCAGTCTCAGTAGCTGGGACTGCAGGCACATGCCACCATGCCTGACTAATTTTGGGTGTCTTTGCTTGTTTGTTTGTTTTTCGGTAGAGATGAGGTTTTGCCATGTTGCGCAGGCTGGTCTCGAACTCCTGGGCTCAAGGGATCTGCCCAAGTTGTCCTCTCAAAGTGCTAGGATTACAGGCCTTGAGCCACGGCACCCGGCCTGGAGAGTCTCATATACTGTGCGGAGACATTTGGATGCCACCGGGAAGACAAGAGGAAGGCATTGAACAGTGGGAGAGAAAGTTAAATACTTAAGTTTAATTTTCATGCATTTGTTAATTTCTCTAGAGTCCACTTTGATAGAGTGATAGCTATCAAAGTTCAAACCTTCTGTAATAAGTTTGAATTCATGACTTAAAAAATTAACTGGGCAAGGT